CGATCGTGGTCGATTGTGATCCGAGGATCGATCGAAAGCGACGAAAATCGAACTTTCGATGAGAACGAGATTGTATCAGAAATAATAAGTGAACGAGATACGAAATCATCCATCACGACGGATTGATTCAAAAATATAATTTCGCTCGGGAATCGAACGGGAATCGATTTGTCTTCGTTACGTTTTTTTTTTTTTTTTTCACATTCCGAGGATAATTACAAGATCATCGTTGGTGTTCGCCTGTCGCGCTTAATTACTTGTTTATTTCCATCCGTATTTCCCAAGATTTATGGCCGTGCCACACGCGACGATCAACACAACAAACAAAGCAACGAGTAGTACGAGGCTATGCGCAGAATTTTTCGTCGCGATCCTATGAATCCTTATCACCCGCAACTGTTTCGTATTCACGGCGGATGATTCGGGGAACGAAGATCGCAAAGATGGTTCGACCACCAGGAAAGAGAGAGAGAGAGAGAGCGATTGTTTCCAAGTAACGTCTGTTGACGAGACGTGGGAATGCTGGGGCGATATATCGACGATGAAAACGACCGCCCACGGCCGCCTTTTTCTCGCAGCGTCGTGCGACACGATACACGGCTAATAACGTAACTCGCTTGACAATTGGTGTAACAAGCGGTTGCTTCTACAAATCCATAGGAGGGAAGAGAAACCGAAAAGGAAGGACGAATTTCTATTTCGATCGATCGAAATTTAATAGAAATTTTATTGGAATGGAGAACTGAAAACAGACTCGATCAAAAATGTTTAAATAAGTTCGTTTGAATGGGGCGAATATACATCTCGAAAGAGTGAATAAAATAATCAAAAATCGATATAAGAGAGAATCGTTGAAAAATTAATATTACGGATCGAAACGCGTACTACATTTTAAATATCGAGCCGTCGATAAAGATTCTCGGCTGTATCTCCTGACGATATCTACGACCGCCTACGATGCTAGAGAGACGCGAGCATCGGTTCGCTTGCGACGATAATTCCATGTTCGCAATCGCGGATCGTGTCTGGAATAGGAGGAACTTGCGAAACGAGACGGCAAATCGATCCAAAAAAAAAAAAAAAGAAAGAAAAAAGAAAAGAAAGAAAGAAAGAAAAAAGAGATACTCGTCACGCGAGACACGCCCATGGCAGCGTTCCCGTTTTCAGGAAACTCGTCGTTACGTGCATTTGTTATTCATGACCAGGGGGAGGGACGGCGAGGTCTAACCCCGGATCCCTCCCGTAGTTTCGGCCACGACAATGAAATCGTAATGTCATTCGCGTCACGGCGCATTGAAATGTCCCTACTACCTTCGCAATCTCCCCGCTTCTCTAATTAAAGGACACGTCGTCGAGTTACATATTTCAATAGGAGTTCCATCACGATTTCCGATTTCCAATTATTCGTGTTTTTCCAAATAAAGGGAGAATCACAAGATCGAGGACAAACGTCCTTTTAATCTCGATTTTAGTCTCGCTACGAGATATTACGTATATATATCCTTTAAAAAAAGAGGAGGGTGGGGAGAGATCGAAACGATACAGGGACCTGGTGTTCCACGTGTACGACCGTATGAAATCAAACGACGTACTAAATCCGCGATGACTAATGAAAGACCGGGTAAACTGTTCTTAATGATGCCGGTACGCTCGTGATATATATGTATACATAAGGAGCGTATATACATATATGTATATACGCGTATATCGGTCTATATACACCGCATATTATACATACACACACTACGTTCCCACAGTAGCGAGACTGGTAATGAGAATATAACGTTCATCAATCATTCGTTGGGCAATCCGCGAGCGAACGACTCCCGGCGGAATTAATTTAATTACTACAAATGTTTCGCGATAAAAATGGCCGGCGATCAATACATTGTCAGGCCCGCGAGTTACGCCGCTCTCCGAGTCTAACCGCGAAAATAATTTATGCAAAGGAGGTGGGAGGACCGAGGCCGGCGCCGTTCGTTGTATCGTAACGCGAGTTATCGTAAGACGGGTTATTAGTTCGGTTAAAACGTAATTAAGAAAATTTAATATGGATAATGACCACTAATAAATATAATAATACGTTGGCAACCGGTGATCGATAACTTTTAACGAGCCGTCGTCTTAGGAAATTGATACAGGGCTCTTTCATTTGTCAGTCTTTGCGCGGAGGGAGGAACGAATCCCCCCC